TTAAGAACAACGCAAAGGTTAAAAGCCACTCCGACATGAAGGTTTTTATAGCTATGATTTAAGGAAATTGCAGGTGATAGTCGATGTTTGACAGATACTTGATCTATTAGGGAAGTCGGAGTGTCTCAATGTGATATTTTAAGCCACAGATGATATTTAGGGCTGACAGTCCAGACGCAGACAAATTGTTGGGCTGATATTGGGTTTAATGAGAAGCTCCTCTGAACAGATTGATTACACGCCGATGACAGGATGCTAATTTGCTGTCGTACATAATCAACAATATGAAAATGCATCTTCCCATGTGGGACGGGAGAGGGGGATTTATTCAAATTCACCTTGTCCCTTGAATGACAATGAATGCAGGGGAGCAGATCAAAGTTATTTTCAAACACTGATGAGATTTGTCTTGATGCTTCTAAGATTTGATTTGTGCAAATACTCCAATTAGCTAATGGAGATGCGACATTAATCTCTGCTGCAGCCATGATATTTATTTTAGCTTTCATGCATTCTCACATAAAAGCTTTACCTAATGCTGCTGTAAAGGCACCCGAATGACGAACATGTCTTCCCACAAGCAGACATGTAAGGTTTTATTTACCCAGGTACCCAGGCTTTTTAACACCAACTAAATGCAATGGTTGTGAGAAGAAACTTTGTTTATTGCATAGACTGTAAAAGTGGTAGTAGCCAATTTGAAGACAAGCCTTGGTTTTGTGGTATACCGTTTTGAAGCCTTGAGTACGGCATTTTGCTACGTAGTTGGTCAGCAAGATGCATCCGCAATTCTACCTTAAATGGAAGTTACAATAAAGAGTAAACAGTCGACAACAACCATGTTGCTATACAGTGTTAGCGATGCCTTTGTTGCCACATCATGCTGTATCAAAGAACACCTGAAACTACTGTAGGGATTGAGACTATAAACTCAAAGCAAATTATGTTATAAAAATAAATCAACTGAAAAGTAGGGTCATTTTCTCATAGACTTCTTTACACTGGATGTTAGAGAGAATGCTGGTTTAATAAAGCACTTTCACATTGCCCTTACTTTTCAGACCACACGGTTGTCCTTTGGTTTATCGTTCATACAATAATACAAATCAATGACTATACGGTTCTAATGCTAGCATGTAAGACACAGCACTGCAATAAACTAAATGCTAAAATCAGAATGCTTACCCGCTCACAATGACAATGTTAACTGTCTAAGGCGGATGTGTTTCCTTAGTTTTGCAGGTACTTGAATTGGAGGAGGTAGAAATTGACATGAGCCAGTTTTTTTTAACTACCACAAGATAAGTATGACTGTATGTATCAAATTGCGTGGCACTCCATAAGGTATAGTTGAGGAATCTCAGTCCTGGCCACAGTGGTGATTTAGGTGAACTGCCTCAATGTTTATGGCTAATAAACTATACATGATGTGCAGTCTTTAGCAGTAAAGCTGGCATCTTGACACAAATAGAAAATACCCCTCCTGCCAATAAAAACATGGTGTTGCCCTTCTCCCTGTCTTCACCGTGACTGAAATATGTGTGTGTAGAAATATAAAACTCTTACTGCTCCTTGGGCTTATGGAGGTGCCTCTTGCTTTGTAGAGCCACACACTCCACTCTATAAACATCAGACAGAAGAGATGGAGTGTGTCTGCACCATCGCTCCTCAGATCACATGTCAGTCCAGAGTGTGTGTTTCAATTTCAGTACAGTTTCCTAAAACATAAAACAACTTTTATCGTTTGACCCCACAAAAAGTTTCAGAATGACTGCTCCGTGTCGTAAAGCAACAACACAATTAGATGTCCAATAAGATGAGCATTAAAAGGGTTTGAACAGTTGTCTTTGTATACCCTGTGCTCCCAAAAGATCCTCCTGATTTACAGCATGTCTAACTGAACTACTACCTTCTCTCCTCAGATGTCCTGTGTCCAAACATGAAGGTTCAACCTGATCGGTTCAAGCCCAACAGCTCCAGTTATGGTCTTGAAGAGGTTCCAGGTATGTGCAAAGTACTGCTTTTATAACGTGGACACGCAGTGCTGGCAATACTTATCAACCACAACGGCTTGCATGACATTTCATACATTTCCTACACAGGAATATCAACTTTTTATATGCAAAGAAAGTTTTCCCTCACAAGTTCCTCTATTTTTTTTAACCAAATTGGTTTTATTCATGACTTGGAAAGTACATTTTTTGTCTTGTTTTAAAACTCAATATACTTGCAAAAATAAAATGCTTGCCGAATTTAAATCACTCACATTTTGACACTTCACATCTTAGTTTATCATTTTGCAAACCAAGCTGCTGTGTTTTAGATATTTTTGTCTATGGTCTGGTGCAGCCATTGAGTTCCATCCATTGCCATACAATATAAAAAACAACTAGTTAACATTTTAATTGTGTTATTGATCACCCTGAATATCCACTTACACCATTTTTTTGTCAAAATTGGTCCAAACATCACATATAAAATAGAACTTTTCCCATTTTTTGGAGAAAAACACAATCATTTAAGCCTCCTATTGTCTTCGTTCCCCCCCCCCTTACTTTGGTGTTCGCGGTCAAATTTGACCGGTCCTGTTTTAACTGCTATTACATTAACACAAAAACCATTAATCATCACCAAATTTCATTTAACACCCTTTCAAACTGTACATATTGTATCAGACTTCTGGTTTACATGAAGAACTGAAGTAAATTATACAAAGAACAGACACTGAACATGTATTGCGTGTCCCAGCTTTGATCCATGTGGGGGGATGGGCACATAAGAGCGGGAAATGTATCAAAATGTTCTGTGTGTGTTTGTGTGTGCCAAGTGTGATTCAGATGGGGGGATGGGCTCATAAGGGGGGGGAGGGGGACACATCTAGAGTATGTGTGTGTGTGTTTTATCTGATCCGGATGGTTACTAATTCCTTTTGTTTATGGCGGTAATTTTTGACCGGGAACACCATGGGTGTTACAAAGTTGACTAAATCATCCAAAATTCAATGGAAGTGGTGATCAGCAATTTAATATGTTCAAATGNTTTATCACAACCTCACCTTTTTAAAGGACGTATGCTATTTTTAGGCAATAGCATAGGTCTCAGATATATAAAAATATATAAAAAACATGTCTATGAAGTCACTTCATAGACATGTTTTTTATATATTTTTATATATCTGAGACCTATGCTATTGCCTAAAAATAGCATACGTCCTTTAAAAAGGTGAGGTTGTGATAAATAGGACTCTGGTTAAGGTTGGATTAAGAGATTTAATACAGCGGAGATGGAAAATAATTAGTTCATTCATTTACTGGAAGATTTGTGTCTTCTTAGGACTATTTAAAGAGACACACATGCCAGGCCACACATGCTCTAGTCAGTTCAGCACATAATAAGTAGCGTCCATTTTTATACCTAAAGATTAAAAGGTGAAAACTTTCAACATGGACACTGGAGAGGCTGCACTTGAAACATTAGAGCTATAATTTTCTGGGAGAAAATAGCTTGCATCGCTCAGTGAGCCAGTTGTTCTGACCACTGATATACTTAGAGACTCGGTCGTGGTGACTTTAGAGATTAGAGAAAGAAAAACACTGTGACTCTCTGTCTTGGTACATTTAGACTTTGGTGAGTTATACTGAACCCTAAACTTGCTTGCAAAGGCAGATTTGAAGACATTATTAGTTGACGGATTGAACATCTATGGAGTCAAGGAGCACAGTCAAAGGTCAGCGGCTTTCAAATGAATCTCCATGCCGGCCTTGCACCAGAAAGATGATATGTCCTTAAAAAAGTTTATTTAGAATCTCAATCACTATTCTCTTCAGAAGAATCTTTACTTTACTTTAGGGCGACTGTGGCTGCGAGGGAGTGCGGTCGTCTTTCAACCAGAAGGTTGTGGGTTTGATCCCAGCCCATGCAGTCAACATGTCGATATATCCTTGGGCAAGATACTTAACCCTGAGCTGCTCCTGATGGCCAACGGTGTGTGAATGTGTGTGAATATTAGGTCCTAGAGNGCTGCGAGGGAGTGCGGTCGTCTTTCAACCAGAAGGTTGTGGGTTTGATCCCAGCCCATGCAGTCAACATGTCGATATATCCTTGGGCAAGATACTTAACCCTGAGCTGCTCCTGATGGCCAACGGTGTGTGAATGTGTGTGAATATTAGGTCCTAGAGTAAGGTACAGTGCTATGGGTGAATGAGTGTGAATGGGTGAACGACAGGAAGTATGTAAAGCGCTTTGAGGGGTCTTAACGACTGGATAAAGCGGTATGTAAGTACAGTCCATTTAATTTTGCTTCATCAAACTTGACAACTTTGAACAGTTGAGAGTTTGTCTTTGCTCATCCGTGCACTAAACCATGTAATCATTTCCCTTCATGGCATCCTTTTCTTTCCTGTCTGGCTAATTTTAGGCAGGAATGTAAGTGTTGGAGTGCAAAGCATCCATCTTCTTTATGAAAACACTCACTCGAAAATACTTCTTCACTTCTTCTTCTTACAGCTACAGCAAACAAAATAAAGCTGCATTTCGAAGCCGAATTTTGCTAATTATTTTGACTTTGTGAGCTACTTTCTAATCCTGTGTTGAAAGATGTTCTCAGCAGACTGGTGGAAAACCATTGAGGTTAGCTTAAGACAGGCTTTTCAGTGCTAAACACCTCTGCAGCAGAGCAGCAGTCAAAGAGGCAGCTCCACCACAGAAATGTCTTGGTTGGAAAAGTGTCATCTGCGAACCAATTCTCGCATCACGCCCCTCACACGCTTCGTATTCACTCAGCCATGATAGCACTGTGTACATGTGCTTTGTGGTTGGGGTGGGGTTTCGTGGTTAGGGTCTTTTTCCTCCAAATAGCGCCTAAAGGTTAAAATAAGAGTCTTATTTGATTAAGTGCACGTTCAGGGTGAGGCCTGCTCTGTAAAGTGAGGCTTCAAACAGAAGCCATGTGGCATGCATTGTGGGTGATGTGTTGGCCCTGAGCCAGTGTGTTGACTTACTCTCACAAAGCCTCCTCCTCAGCCTGCCTCTGATCTTGTCGATGGCATTGAAGTCCGTCACATAGAAGACGTGGGCGTTCTTTGGCTCGGCCGCGATCTCCTCCAGCTCCACCTTCAACGCCTCTCCGATCCCCACGGCGAACATTCTGATGCCGGCTTTAGCAGCGGCTTTGGAGGGCTCCAAAACGTAATCCTGGCTCAGACCATCTGTGAGAAGGATGGCCACCCTCTGGATGCCTCTGGCTTTCGGTCTGGCTCCGTTTCGCTCCGTGAAGATGTTGTTGGTGGTGTAGCTGATAGCGTCCCCGGTCATTGTATTTCCCCCCCGGTAAACTATTTCACTGGCAGCTCGCTTCACATCCTCCAGGGACCTGTGTTTGCTCAAAGTGAACTCAGTGGTGGGCGTGTCGCTGTAGCGAACCACGGCTACTCTGGTCTTGTCTGGTGCCACATCGAAAGAGTCGACAATATTGGACACCCATTGTCGGATCTTCTCAAAGTTCTCTCTTCCAACACTGGACGAGGTATCAAGGATGAACGCTAAGTCATAGTGGACATTCTTACATCCTGCCAATAAAATACAAGAGGATTTAGTCAAAAAACAATAAATACAAGCTCGATACAATACAGTGTTTTCATATTGGGCACGATTGATTGTACCCTGCCCCGAGTTCAATTGTCCCATGAGGATTCGTACCTGAGAACACAATCATCTACATTTGACAGAGACATTTGTGTATGTAGTTGGTACAGAAGTATACCTGAGAACCCATGACTCTGACTTGAAACCACCTTTTTGAGTAAACTCGGTCACAGATTGATGAACCATGCAAAGGTACAGAAAACAATGTTCACATTTTTCAAACAAACTAGACTTTGGGGTCAAGTGTTTAGGTATTGACATTTTTTGGCAATCATCACATGATGAACACTAGCCTTAAAGCTTTTTTGCATACACAATCGTGGAAAGGAGTGGCTATAACACAGAGAATAACGTTTGGTTTTTTTAGCATCACAAGTTTAGGGATTTAGAGAAGCCAAACTATCACTTTGTCCATCCATGTGTGCAGGGAGCCAACACTGGCTATGTAGCTGGTACAGAAGTATACCATACCACTACTTGAAACCACCTTTTTGGCTAAACCCTGTCACAGATCAATGCACCGTGCCAAGGCACAGTAAACAATGTTCACATTTTTCAAACAAACTAGACTTTGGGGTCAAGTGTACTTGGATCCGGGTCCTTGATAATGGTCTTACCTGCCCTCTGTGCTTCCACCGTCTCTCCGGAAAGAGTCAAGGCGAGGATGACCAAGACCAGGGTGATCCTCCATCCCAGTCGTAATTCCATCTCGTCCTCGGTTTGTGTCTGTTTAGTTTAGCTTATTACCACCATCAAGCTGTCCAGTCTGCGGAAAAGGTCAGTGGAAACATCAACAATGCTATTACAAGTCCTCACGCAGCAGCCACTAGTGAGCTACTTTGCAAATGTACAACAGACCTTCAAGACATTTCAGAATCAAAATCCTGTTTTCCAAGCTGTCCCTTGGCGAACAGGATTTTCGATTATTTCTTTCCAACTGCGCAACCAAAGTGGATGAAACACTTCCTGTTGTGCAGGGAGATTGCAGTGGAAGAAAAAAAGAAGAAGCAGGACTCTTACAAGAACTACTCTCACATCTCTACTACATATTGAGAAGGGGCTTGTGCAAGGTTGATTTCAGATTGCATTTTGCACTTCAAGAAATGTCTTGTATAAGGTACTCCAAAATAAAAAAGAACTCTCTATCTCATCCCACCTATTGTCCAGGTTTTCTTGTGTCCCCTGTGTGTATTCTTTCTGGTATGGAGGCTGGCAGGAAATGTTCTCCATTCTCAGGACGGGATAATTAAACCCTTGGACTGAAATACACATCTCTCTACAGCAGCAAGTGAATACTTCATCCAGAGAAAATTGGATTCACTGAAGATTGTTGGAACGTACAGCCATACAATTCTTTTCACCATATCCACCCACAAGACATTCAAATAAGAAAGTTGGGAGTATGCTGATGTTGCGCTGGAAAACTTCTCCATACTGATGTATTAAAGTTCCTTGCAGGTGTCTGTAGTTGTCATTTGGAGCTGCTAGAGGGACATTTATGCAGCTTTCTATTCATTAAAATGTTGCAAAGGACCGATAACTCAGCCTCTGTTGGATTCATTTACGAGGCCGTTGTGCCTGGGTGGCACTGACAGAAACCGTTTATACAAACACAAAATTATTCTTGCTCTTATTGTACACCGGTGGTTGTGATGCGAGCCTTTAGGGCTGATGTTTGACTGACCGTAGCCATAACAAGGACTCATCGTGACTGTTAGATGGTTTCATTGCGGGGGGCACTGGGGGAGGAAGAGGAAAGTCTGAGATATGCATGACTTGGAAAGAAATAACACGAGTCCCTTGAGTTCTGAATAGTTCTTCTCCATACATCATCGCCTCTGTGCTTCCTGACATGTCCATTGAATTATGGTAAATAGGTGTTTTCTAAATGCTTTCAAACCAACTGGCTGCTGTACAGAATGTGCTTAATATAATGTATTTAAAGGAAACGTTCACATTTCAAAAAGCTTTTATTTGCTTTCTTGTCGAGAGTTAGGAGAGACAATCGGTACTACTTACGTTTCTGAGACAGTTAGCATATGTTAGCATAGCGAGTGGAACAGGGGCAAACTGTTAGCCTAGCTCTGTCCATGTTAAAGCTTGTTAGTTTCATCCGAACAAAAGCTGAGTTGTAAAATTGAATTGAAAGGTTTTACAGGTGGGTAACTTACGTGCTTTATCTTGGCCAAAAGCATTTCAATCAAGAGCGGACTGAGACACATGAAGCTATTCTGGCCTTGTGGCCGCGCCAGGTATTGCAATGTTGGCAATTAAAGCTGTGTTGCATGTATACACAATCTTGGAAAGGAGTGGCTGTAAGACAGAGAATAACTATAATTTTTTTTAGCATCACAAGTTTAGTGATTTAGAGAAGCCAAACTACCATCCATGTGTGCACGGAGCCAACACTGGAGGCTTTTAGAATGAAAAAGCTCCAATATAGAGGCTTTTTTGTATGGACCCAGTGAGCAACTTTTAGAGAAATGAACAAGGCTCCATGATTGAATACAGTATCCAGTTTGTCATGCTTAGTTGAGCAGATAGACTTAAATTGCGATCAGGATTAGACCTTAAACATTTAACCTCCTATAAAACCACAGATTTCATTTTTTACATACTTTTTTTTTTGTCTCCAAATGTAAACATACAAGAAACAAAGGGTTAATACATGAACCTAGGTTTGTTTTAGCAAGAGACCTTTTTTCACTGGGCAGAGGCTTGCTGTTTAGCCTTGCATGAAGTATGTATGCTAAGCTAACATATTCCCTATCATGTCTATTTAAGTCCCATTTCTTGTTTTTATAGTGTCTGGTTGTTGCGTGTTGGCACCTTGAGTTCATTGTCATTTCGTTGTACCTGTACAATGACAAATTAAAGATCTATCTATCTATCTAAGCTAACCCTCTCCTTGCTGAAGCTTTATGTAAATGGTGTCAATCTTCTCATCTAACTCTTGACAAAAATGCTCATGTTTGTATTTGTTTTTTAAGTTGATTTTAACCTTCGATAGGGTTTTAATCATTCAGAATTTATGTGATTCAATTTGACTGTGCTGTATTGATATAAACTCATACATTTCACCTGTTTCAAAGGTCAGGTGAGTTCAGTTCTGGGGCTTAACATACAGTAGACCTAGTATGAAGGAGTGTATTATGTAATTAAAGTGATTGCATGTGTGTATAACTGAAATAGAAAAGGATTTAGGCGGAACATTATTCCAGGAAACGGACAATTTAAAAACAGCAACCTGTGGACTGTGGCTTGGCCTAGTCTGTGAAATAGAGAGTGCATTATTTACTGTGAAAAGTACTTTGGCCTCCAGATACAAGTTTCCTTATCTGATTCTCCACTGGGTTATTTCTGCTACTTTGGTTCCACTGGTACTAATAATGAGCATAATAGGCATACTAGCTGAATCACTCTAATTGCCCCAATTAGTTTGCATTTAACATCTCAGAGATTCAGCACAGAGAGACTTCAATGGAATAAAAACAGCCGCCCAATGAAAGCAGATGAACACGATTTGTATTCATGCTCCTAATCCTCTTTACCCAACTTTGCGCAACTCGTACATATTCTAATTTGTCTCTCTTTCATCTCTGATCACATTTAAATGCACTGTACGTCTCTCCCAGGGCTGCAATGAATCAATTATTGATATTATAAGCAGAAACAGTATCCGAGGTAAAGCTGAAGACAAGCTGCTTTGCTTCTGTCAACATTTGAACCTGACGCCAGATTCCTTACAAACGGTGAGTGTGTATCATCAGGCCCGTTTCCACTTCCTCTCTCTAAGGTGAAACCTGGGAATGAAATAGATGTCTAAAGCAGAAGCTCCACATCTGTCATTCCCAAAATGTAAAAAACAGAAAAAACCTCTTTTTTTTTCACATGCAACCAAAGAGAAAAAAGTCTGTTATCTGACAATCATCTGTGGGTTCAAAAAAAGTATGCCAACAAAATCCAAAATGCTAAAAGATAACATGTATTTAAGGGTGGAAATCAGAGTTTATGATGCTAATTGTTTTCTTACCTGTCCTTTCACTTTTTAGTGAGCGTTCCTGAGGTGTTTCTCTCTCTCTCTCTGTCACACCCTGAATCAGCACCGGGTGAGAAGCATCATTATCTAAGTGATTATAATAATCCAAGATATCTCCCCCTGCACGCGTCAAAACATCACAAATAGATTATCATTTAATCCAGGGAGACAATCCAGTGTACAGTGTTGTCAAAAAGTGAGGTGAGGTGAGCTTCAGCAACCTTGTGGGACAGAGTGGGAGGGAGCAGTGTGTGTGGGGGGGGGGAGTGTAGGGTTTCACTGGGGGAGCAAGTGGCTTCTACTGTTCTTCACTGGGCTGTGCTCACACATAAAAAAAGGCTGAGAGGCGCAGCCAATTATAGACGCAACTTTCTGGATATTTTGGGCCTTTTTTTTCCTTCCCTCTGCTTTAAAGCTGCGCCCATCAAAAGAAACAGGCATGGCTTATTGTCAACCCACCCAAAGTGTCCGGTCTTTGCAGAGATGGCAAAAGTACACACATCCTTTACTCAAGTAGAAGTACAGATACTCGTGTTTAAAAATACTCTGGTAAAAGTAAAAGTACTGACTAAACTTCTTTACTCAAGTAAAAGTAAAGAGGCTTTGAAATGTACTTCAGTAAAAAGTACAGTACCCATAACTAGCAGCTGTTTTAAAGAGTACCTGACCTCCCTTTATATCAATAGAACAATAATGTAATTGTTAGCTAATGAATGTTTCCATGCTGAACAACGGCAACATGACAACGTTTTCATTGGTCCCTCTTCTTTAGAGAAGACCAGGAAATGATGGATACACGGATCGTGTTCAAATCAATAGGCACGCAATGACTCTGAATAATAATGATCACGCCACCAAACACACATTCAAACTAAAGGAACCAGCCTGTTTGGAAAATGTAAGAAGTAGAAAGTACAGGTATTTGAGTTTAACATGTAAGAAGTAGAAAGTACAGGTATTTGGGTTCAACATGTAAGAAGTAGAAAGTACAGGTATTTGGGTTCAAAATATAAGAAGTAGAAAGTACAGGTATTTGTGTTCAAAATGTAAGAAGTCAAAGTAAAAGGTCATCAGAAAAATAAGTAGTGGAGTAAAGTACTGATACCAGAAAGATGTTCTTAAGTACAGTAACAAAGTATTTGTACTCCACTACTTCTCTCCTCTGGCCTTTGCCACAGCGGAGCCGCCCTGAGGATGGCGGTGGACTCAACCCGCCACACACTTATTGAGCAGGGCTGTATTTAAGTTTGGGGAAATGATTACAGAACAGCTTTGTGTTAAATGTCTGTCGCTGCGCAGTAAAGCCCTGTGATCTATTACTCATGTCATGCTGTTTTGACAAGTTTACAATCACGTCACACCGCAACATATTTCATATTTGTCATACTTTTTCATATTTAATACGTTGTATATATTTTCGTTTTTTTGGTACTTGTAATTTCTGTCACTCTTAGTCATATTTACAGCCATATTTATAGTCATATTTGCTTCTTTTTTTGCAATATCCCAAGTTCCTCAGAGATGAGATGATGACAATTTTATTCTGTAAAATCCACTTTTGCTGATCTTTTTATTTATCTAGAACAAGCAAACGCACACAAAAACTGTGCTAACAACAGCCGGATTAAATGTCACATATTCACAGATTCTTAATAGTACATTATTTAAGATAAATTACAAGTGTATGTTATTTTGTACTTTACAAAATATGAATAAACAAATAAATAATGATGTATTCTATTATATTTGGATTAAGCTCCCGACAGCATATTGAAAAATACAAATATTTCCATCTTTAGCAGCTGTAATATGAGTGAAGCGTTTACATTAATGCATTTATCATTATAGCATAATTAAAGTTATTTTGGTACTTTAACATAAGATAGGATAAACCTTTGTTTTGAATGTCAACCGGAAACAAAGAGTGAAACACAGACAAGGTAAGAGTTAATAAAAGGATCAAACATGTTGCAGTATAATTCAAAATAACAGCAACATGATAAAGTAAGTAGCTGAATGTACAAATACAAATGGGAATGAAGATTATAATACATGTAAATAAATAAAAAGTTTGCTCAAATTTGCTCAGACTCTTGAGAAACTTATTTACACTGTGGTATTGCTACTTTAACTTCAGTATAGTCATTTTAAAACATATTCCAGCACTGCTTATTCTTCTTTTACAGCAAAGTCAGTGTTATTGGCCTAACTGTAGATCTACATGTGTCGTGATATGATATCCACATTCAGAGGATGGCTATAAATCATATTTTAGACGTAAACTGATGTGCATGGTCCTCTGGCAGGAGAGGAAGCAGTGAAACACACCAGCTCTCTGTCTCTGTGTTTCTCCTCTAAAGTCCGCTGCATCACAAGTCTCATTTTGGCAGCTCTTGGTTGAACCTTCCTCTTTTAAAGTGCTCCTACAGCTGCCACCACATGCTTCTGCCGGATTAGAAACCACATGCAAAATCTGCCGTATTGGTGGAGCTGTTGAGGAACCAAAAAAGCTGGAAAACACAGCGTCAATATTTGAAAGTCACGGACAACAAACAAGTTAACCGTTACATCCTACAGGCCTATTTCCAGAGCCTTTGAAGCCAAGGAAAGTGAGCTATAGGCTATGTTTAGGCTCATTGTGGAGTGGATGGGAAGTGGGCTGAGGATTCGGGGCAGATGCACATTATGGGATGGTGTCAGTCTAAGCAGCCGTCTGTCGCCTTGTGTGGGGGCTAAAGAGGTGACCAGCTTGTGGAGCGAGAGGCTGCGAGCACCATGACGTGTTGCAGAAAGCCACCTGTTGTCATCGGACTGACGGCCAGCTTTCAACCTCCCACGCTAGGAAGAGGCTCTCCAAAATATGTTTTAAAAAGACATGTTAGAGTCAGTGGTGAAGCAGACGATCCTTTATCACCCCTCGTTTTCTAAGGTGAAACTCAGGTTGAATTAAAGCGTTTTCTTACACTGGAAAAAAAAAAGTAAACAAATAATGAAAACAAGGTGTTCTCACTTGTATTATGTCAAACTCATCTGCCAATAGAAGTGAATATTTGCTTGGTAAGATTTCCTGAAATAGGATGGGATATTTATTTAAATCAGATCTTGTAATTAGCTGGGAAAACGTATTTTGAACTATATTTGACCAGAATCAGGAAATGTTGTGTTACAAAGTTAGACACAAATGCTCAAAAGTTGTCTGCTTTGTGATGTTAGTCGGCAATTTTCGAATAAAAATGTAAAATAAAACGTTTAATCTGACATACAACTGAAAGTAAGGTGTTTTTAAGAGTCTTTGTCTAAAAACAAGACCCTATATCTCCCTGCCTTGTTCCTTATTAAGTTATCAGGTCTTATATCAAGTGTAAAGACATAGTCTGACTAGAAGTTTGTCAACAATACTTGGCAAGATTTACAGTTTTTGTAGTGTACAACCAGCAACATCTGATTTGCATAAACAAATGTTTTTTTTATCTCTGTTATGATGGTTTCTTTCTAAGGCCTGATCAAACACAAGCTTTTCCTCAAGTTTCTACAAATAAATCACCGGGGATTTTTGTAAAAACTTGAAATATTTCCATTTTGAAGCACTCTAAGAGGTCACACAATAGGTGATGCGTTTAGACCAGGGGTGTCCAAACTACGGCCCGCGGACCATTTTGAATCGCTCCTCAGCAAATTAAGCAAGTACCATGGAATATTGCCCACAAAAGAAACCTTTGCTTGACTTAAATTGTGCTTCTTGAATATAAATGTAAAATATATTACACAGTAGTATTCATGTTAAACCCCACGGCCCGCGGGCGGGGGCAAAACGCAGCATCTTGCAAGAAACAGAGTCTGAGGGCTTCTTAACATCTAATAAACTATTAATGTGTCATACCCACTTAACGGGAAGAAACTCAGCTATCAGAGAATATTAACCATTTTTAGCTAAACGAAACATAAGGGTAATAACAAAGGCTCTGAATTAGCCCTGAGCGAAAAAATGCTAACACACTTAGCACAGAACTCACGTTAAAATACCCTTATTACTTATCGGATCTGGACAAACAAGATATCGATTAGCAAGCTGAGATTCCACAGATTCCAGAAATATAAGTATCACCACTGAGCGATCAAAACTCGCGACAGGGGAAACAAATCCAGACATCAAATAACTTCAGTCAGTTAAAGTTGCAAACATTTTCTAACATATCTTAGTTGATAAGAAAGAAGCCCAATGACTTATTTTCATAACAAGCTTTCTGTTTTACGGGATGAGCTGCCAGCACTCACAAGCATCATGTACCTACATTTGATTGATTTTGCTAACTTATAACTGACCTTATGAGGCAGTATACCTCTTGTGAGTGGCCCAGACCTTCGTATACTTTTCTGCATGTGGCCCTCGGTGAAACAACTTTGGACACCCCTGGTTTTGACAAACGACGCTGGGTGCAACCACTTTTCACAAAACTGCTGTATGCCACTTCATGTGCTCGCTCCACAGCTGAGACAATTGGTAAAAGACACTTTGTGGACACAGGCGCTTAGTTAAAGTTATAGGAAGACTGTGGCTATCACGGGAAAAGTCTATACTTCATGCTTCAAGTCAGCGTGACTTGAAATGATTTCCCAAAGACCCACCGTCCCTCAAACTGAGAGCCAAACAATCCAACAAAAAGCTATCAAAATGCAGGATGTGCAATACTTTGTTAAAGGACCACTCGACCAAATGGCCTGTTAGAAGTCATTACTTCCCAGTCTTTATTTACTTCTTAGATTTAAAAAAATGTAATAACCAAACACATCATATTCTACAGACCTTTTCAATGAAAATGAGAATGTTTCTTTAACCATCCATCGTAAGCATCTTCTTTACATGGTGGTACAGAGTTAATATTATAGGGAAACATTTGACTTATGGTAATTCAAAATATAAACAATTCACCAATCTTTTTTTAAAGTTATTTTAAAGTATTTTTTGGAATATTATCCCAAATGTACTGTTGAAAGTCATGACTTCCCAGTGTTTCTTTAGACTTTCTTTAGACTCTCCCTGCACTATTCCTATTATATTTTATTTGTATTTACTT